TGCTGCTGAAGGCAGGACTGTTATATAGACAATCTTTAGTAACTCGAGTGCATCAGGCACAGGGTTAAAGGGAAGGGAATATTCTACGGCACATATCCACTATGAAGTAAACACCGCAAAAATATATAGCATTGCCATGCCTATGATCTATAACAGCGATCGCATGACTGCACAACAACCCACTAATATGCCACACCTGACAGCTATATGTATATGTCGCTAGATTAATAACATATTTCTTATCAACATGGATATCATATGTGTCATCATGTGCCCATATGACTGTATGAAGGAATATCGACTTCTCCCTCCCCTTATCTATTATCTCTTGAGCCTTGGAGGTAAGCACGTCATTCCATTCTAAAGACTTAGTCATCTTGTTAAAAATTTTTCCCATGAGCTTAACCTTTAGGCATTCGAGTTCAATGATGGGCTTCTCCCAAGCAATATCCACTTGTATTTACATCCCCAAAAATATGCATTTTCCTAATAATGCACACGTTGTTTAATGATCCATTCATAAGCATCAGCATTTGCACTCTTAATCTTTGATATAGTCAATGCATAGGCAGCTTTCCAATAAAGTCTTGTCGCGTTCCTAACCCATAATATCTACATTGAAAAAGTTGTCAAATAAAAAGTTAATAAATTGCATAGCAAACTTCTTACATAGCCAATCTTGATGGACCATTCTCGAACAATGTTGGTGGTCGGCATTCCATGGTGTCCAACTCAATAGGTCTATTTGATAAGTACATAACAATGGGAGGAGGCTATTCCAACATATTTGCAATGTCGTCTTCATCACCAATACGTATCATATTCATGTTATTGGTAATGCTGGGTCACTATACCTAATATTCATGGTACTTGCGGCATAATTTGTTACTTTTGACAAGTGGGCCTTTAGTTGGTCGAAGGAACCGGTATGCCTAAAAAATATAACCTTCAAGTCCCTACCATCATAGAAAAGATATACATCATTAGAATTCCTCTTGAAATAATCACCAAAGTATAAAGTTATGTTCACTCTATCATCACCCATTATTGGAGCGTGAGCCCCAATCACTGCTGAAATCTCCAATTTCAGATGGAAACAAATATGGAATCAAAATATTTGGGATCAATAATGCATTGGAAGTACCATAACAACTTTTTAAGTACCGAGATTTTTCTCATGGCCATCACAGCATACTAAATGTCGTGATAGCCCTCATGGTCATCATGGTATTTTAAGTATCATGATATCTCTCATGGCTGTCACGGCATTTTAAGTATTGTGATGCCTCAAAACATTAGGACCATCGCGGCATTGAGTATTCCATGATGCCTTCACAGTCATACGACTACCATAAAGGCTATTTTGGTCAAAATAATGTGAAAAGTGAAAAAAATGGTACAGACGAGTTTTAAAAAAGCATGATATTTTTTTCTAATAAGCCAAAAATTAACGTATATTTTTTATAATTTGTCTTTTTATATTTTTCCATCTTTTTTAGATTATTTCAAAAATACCTCCAATCATAAATGAAATTTTTAAAATCTATATTTTTACATCTTTTTTAGCCTCATTTTGATGTGATTTTCTTAATCTTACTTTAAACATATATTTTTTATTTTTAAATATATCATATTTTTTATAAATTTTTAACCTTTTTTTGCTGCTGCAATACTCGACAGTTAGGGCTACCAACAGGCCGGCCGAGCTCAAGATCTGGTAATGCCCGGATCTGTTCAGGCCCGAACCGGCCTAAAAAATGATTAGGCAGCCTAGCCCGCCCTCCAAGCCCATTAGAGGCCCGTTAAGGCGCTATTGGTATAGGTCTGGACTAGCCCATTAAGAAACTTTTTTAGAAAAAAAAGAGGGTCTAATTGCTTCAGTGGGAGGCCTGAGTGAAAGAATTGAGATGAGTGGAGGGATTGAGAGAGAATTGAGGTTAGCAAAAAGGGATAAGAAAAGCTTAGAGCCCTTTCTTTCTGTCTCTCATCCTCTCCCTCTAGGACTAAGAGAAGCCCTATGGCCTAAGGGGTCTTTGATTCCCTCTCCTCTTCCTCATGTTTCTCTCTCCTTTTCTTCCTCTCTCTCATCCTCTCTCTCTAGGACTAAGAGAAGCCTATGGCCTAAGGGGTCTTTGATTCCCTCTCCTCTTCCTCCTGTTTCTCTCTCCTCTTTCTGAATGCCGAGAGGAAATAGAAGATCACAAAAAATAGTTTTGGGTGTGGTATATATAGAGTCGAGGCTTTAAACAATCAAAATAAAGCACACCTTCAAATAGTGTCGAGAAAAGTGGTTTCAATATTGGAAAACTTTGTGATAGCCTCAAGATATATTTTCATCTTTAATTATAAAATTCAAAACTTAAAAATTGTGTAGATCGAGCAGATCTATGAAAACTTGAAAATCTTGAAAATTGACAGTCCAAAAATGTGTTACAAGATGCACTATTTCCAAAACTTGAAATCTGTTCTTTTCTCATGTCCATGTATCTTGATGTCGAGATGATCAATTTTAGGATATTTGAGCATCAAACAACTTCTTCTAATGAAGCTCTATAGGTGAGCTCTAATTTGATTGTTTACAGCCTCGGTTCTATATAAACTTTTCCCAATAGTTTTTATTACATTCTCTCCCATTTTTGACTCTTTAGTGAATCTCCTTTCTTGGATGAAGTTTTTAATAAGGCTGCATGTTTATAATATCTGTTTTGGTAACGGCTCCCTTCAAGGTCAAGTGTTTAAAAAGGAAATGGAAATAGTCCGGACCAGCGTTTTAAAAAACGCCGAGTCGAACCGGACTCGCCCGGTTCGACTCGGAAATAGTGAAAAAGGAACCGGATCGCCCAAAAATCGGAAATCGTCCGGTTCTAGAGAGAACCGGACGATTCTGTACAGTGAATCACCC